CAAAACAATCATTGAAACAAGTAAACATAACAGGGTGACAGAGTTTAACATCAGTATAAAAAAATCAGTTGCTGGGGCACCCAGGTAGCTCAGTCAGTTAAGTGTCCAACTCTTGAGTTCAGCTGAGGTCATGACCTCAGGGTCGTGAGATGGAGCCTTTGTATCTGGCTCCATGCTCAGTGCAGAGTCGAGATTCCTTTTCCCTCCCTCTGCCCCTCCCCTACTTGAGCATGTGCTCTCTCTCTCTTTCTAAAATAATAAATAAAATCCTTAAAAAAGATCATCATCTTTCTATATGTTAGTAACAAACAACCAGAAAATAAAAGGCAAATAAGTCCATTTCTTTAAAAAAAAAATTTATTTATTTGAGAGAGAGCATGAGCAGGGGGAGAGGGAGAGGGAGAAGCAGGATCCTCATGGAGCAGGGAGCCCCATACGGACTTGCTCCCAGGACCCTGGGATCATGACCTGAGCCAAAGACAGACGCTTAATGGACTAAACCACCCAGGTGCCCCCAAATAATTCCATTTCTAATGGTATAAAAACCATAAAGTATTTAGGGCTAATTTAACAAAACACATATATGATCTTTAAACTGAGAAGTAAATAGATTGCTCAAAAAAGTAAAGAAAATGTAAATAAATTGAGAAATCTATCATGTTCATAAAGTGAAGGCAGAATATTGTTTAGACACCAACTCTTCCCAGAGGGATACATTTATTTAATACAACCCCAATCAAAATCCCAACAGGAATTAAAACAGGAGCTGAAGTTAGGGATTCAGGTGCTTATAATCTATGTTCATAGCAGCACTATTCACAACAGTCAAAAGTCACAATGTTCACACTGTTCGCAAACACCCCAAGTGTTGAAGAAGAGAGGAATGGATGGTACTATAATATGGGTGAACCTGGGACAGGGTGAACCTGATACATGCTATACCGTGGATTAGCCTTGAAAACATCACACTAATTAAAAAAAAAATACGCTAAAAGATAAATGTAGGATTTGACTTATATGTGTCGTCTAGATTGCATAAATTCATAGAGACAGGAAGTGGAATGGAAGTTCCTAGGGACTGGGGAGGGGGGTGATGAGGAGTGAGTGGCTGCTCAGTGTGTTCAAGGTTTCTTTTGGGGTGAGGAAATGCTCTGAAATCAGACGGTGGTGGTGTTTGCACAACATTATGAATACACTAAAAACTTTCTCGTGCACTTTAAAGTAGTTAAAATGGGAACTCTGTGGTCTGCATATTTTAGGACGATTTGAAATTTCAACGGGCCCTCAACTCTATGGTCAAATAATCTTCGACAAAACAGGAAAAAATATACAGTGGAAAAAAGACAGTCTCTTCAACAAATGGTGCTGGGAAAACTGGACAGCTATATGTAGAAGAATGAAACTCGACCATTCTCTTACACCATACACAAAGATAAACTCAATGTGGATAAAAGACCTCAATGTGAGACAGGAATCCATCAGAATCCTAGAGGAGAATATAGGCAGTAACCTCTTTGATATCAGCCACAGCAACTTCTTTCAAGATATGTCTCCAAAGGCAAAGGAAACAAAAGTGAAAATGAATTTTTAGGACTTCATCAAAATCAAAAGCTTCTGCACAGCAAAGGAAACAGTCAAGAAAACAAAGAGGCAACCCACGGAATGGGAGAAGATATTTGCAAATGACAGTACAGACAAAAGGTTGATATCCAGGATCTATAAAGAACTCCTCAAACTCAACACACACAAAACAGACAATCATATAAAAAAACTGGCAGAAGATATGAACAGACACTTCTCCAATGAAGACATACAAATGGCTATCAGACACATGAAAAAATGTTCATCATGACTAGCCATCAGGGAGATTCAAATTAAAACCACATTGAGATACCACCTTACACCACTTAGAATGGCCAAAATTAGCAAGACAGGAAACATGTGTTGGAGGGGATGTGGAGAAAGGGGAACCCTCTTCCACTGTTGGTGGGAATGCAAGTTGGTGCAGCCACTTTGGAGAACAGTGTGGAGATTCCTCAAGAAATTAAAAATAGAGCTTCCCTATGACCCTGCCATTGCACTACTGGGTATTTACCCCAAAGATACAGATGTAGTGAAAAGAAGGGCCATCTGTACCCCAATGTTTATAGCAGCAATGGCCACGGTCGCCAAACTGTGGAAAGAACCAAGATGCCCTTCAACGGTAGAATGGATAAGGAAGATGTGGTCCATATACACTATGGAGTATTATGCCTCCATCAGAAAGGATGAATACCCAACTTTTGTATCAACATGGATGGGACTGGAAGAGATTATGCTGAGTGAAATAAGTCAAGCAGAGAAGAGTCAATTATCATATGGTTTCACTTATTTGTGGAGCATAACAAAAAGCATGGAAGACAAGGGGAGTTAGAGAGGAGAAGGGAGTTGAGGGAAATTGGAAGGGGAGGTGAACCATGAGAGACTATGGACTCTGAAAAACAATCTGAGGGTTTTGAAGGGGCGGGAGGGGGGGCGGGTGGGAGGTTGGGGGAACCAGGTGGTGGGTATTGGAGAGGGCACGGATTGCATGGAGCACTGGATGTGGTGCAAAAAACAATGAATACTGTTACGCTGAAAATAAATTAAAAAAAAAATATATATATATATATATAATGAAAGGGATGAAGCTAGACGGTCTCCCGGTCCCTTGCAGCTTCCTGGTTTGGCTGCCGCTTCTCCTGGATTACGCCAGGTCCGCGAGCAGCTGTCACACGCCAGGTCTGCCGCTTTGCCCACGCTGTCCAGTCGTCGAGCTCGTCGGTTCTTTGCAGCGTTGCCCTCTGCTGTACTCTCCATGGTATCTGCTAAGAGCCAAACGCGGCTGATGCCCCTCATCCCGTAGGCTCTCCCTTCCGAGCTCCAGAACAAATTTACCGATTTTGGTGCGATGACACAATCCTGTTAAAATTGTGTAGAAAAGCGCCCCCACCAATCGATACTGATTCTATACATCCCTACAGCTCTTGATGGATGTTTTGTTTTGCTATTAATTAATTTGAGAGAGAGAGAACACACAGGCGGGGGGAGGGGCAGAGCGAGAAGCAGGCTTCCCGCGGAGCAGGAGCCCGATGCGGGGCGCGATCGCAGGACCCCGAGCCCGCCAAAGACAGGTGCTTCCCGACTGAGCCCGCAGCTCCCGCGGTTGACTGCGTGAAGTATCGAGGCAAAGAGGCCGGTGTCCGCAGTGAGGTCCGGGACAGCCTGCCCCGGGATCCCGGTCGGCAGCGCCGTGTTCCCGCGACTCTCTTCAGACCAGGGCGGCGACCCCGGGACTCTGTTTTACCCAGTTTTCCTGGGACGCTATCTACAACCACACGGGTCGGCGCGGTCCTCCGTGGACCGCGGCTCTCCATCACCGACTCCCCTGCACTCACTGCGGCAGGGGCTCCTCACAGCGAGCGCCACGGGGCCGCAGCTCTCGGGCGCAGGCGCAGAGCCGCGCCGCCGCCGCCCCCCCCACTCCCGCCCCGCCCCTACCCTGTGCGCCGCTCCGTGCTCCTACGGCGCGTCTGCGAGCTGCTGGGGTCGTCGGGGGTCCCCGCTAATCCTTCCGGCTGCCTCGAGCGCCGTGCACTCGCGTTCCGTCGCAGCGCGGGCCCGGCCCCAGGTGTGCCCGGGTGCGCGGCCGAGGCGGCCGGTGAGTGGAGCGCGCTGCGCGCAGGGCCGGGCCTGGGCGGGTGGGCCTGCGGGCTCGGGGACAGGTCTTGCGGCGTGGCGGCGCAACACCGGGCGGGGCGGCGGGGTCACCGGCTGCGCCTGTAGGCGGCTCCGCCGGGTCCCGGGGCTGCGTGGGGGGCGGGCGGTGGTCCCCGGGGGTGCGTGGCCGCGACCTGCAGCCGGGCGCGTGAGGGCTTCTGGAGCCGGCTGTGCCCGTCGCCGCTCCACGACTCTGTACCCGGACTGACCCCTCTTACCCTCGCAGGCACCCCGTGACATGCGCCATTACCGTCCCCATGTTGCCAGCGAGGACACTGAGGCACGCGGAGATGAAGCGCCTTCCCGGGAGTTACACAGCTCGTGAGTAGCAGCCGCTCGTTTCTGCCTCCGACGAGGGCACTCGGGACTTGCATGGAGAGTACGTGTTTATCTATTGGTGGAGCCGCCGGCCAGTTCTGCGGATCAGATTTCTGTGTTATTTTGAGCCAGTTTCTGCCCACACTGTTGCCTGAAGATCACCTTTCAGGAGGTCTCCGGACTTGGTCGTCTCTGCTCTGGGGTGGAACTGGGGCTGCCGGGCCCTCGTGCTGATTCCTTTGTCCTTCAGCAGAGGCTCCAGCGGGCTAACCTGGGCCTGAAAGCGAGCACCGGGAGAAGAGCTGTTCCAAAACCTTCCGAACCTGCTTCCTTCTGACCGAGATAAATTCTTAATGCAGAAGGCGGCAGAAAGAAGGGAGAATTCTTGCTGAATTCTTACTGGAAGAGGCGGTGACATGGTCCAAAGAATTTCAGATGGTTAGGGTCACAGGAGGTGCGTGTCGCTGGGAAGTTGGTCCTAAAAGCAGATTGGTTTGCGGGGGGCTGCAGCCGTTATGACCACTGGACTTGGGAGAACAATGATTGGGTAGGATGCAGTATAGTTGTAGCAGTAAAGTGCTCCAAGTAGCTGAAGCATGAGGTAGGAAGGAGGAAGAGTGGAAAGGTCTTGCCACACCATGGTGCAGGAGTCCTCCGATGGAGCCTGAGCAAGGGAATGGCTCCCAGCCTCTCTGAAATCTATCGGAAGGTTCGCCTTCCTGTGCGTCCTCCAAGACCAGGAATGAGAGCTCCTCTGTCCCGGCTCTGTAGCAGCAGGTGCTAAAGGCAGCCTCACAGATTCTCTGAGCATCTGCTTTACAGGTACACCCTCACACTGTTAAATTGCATTCATTTGAGGTACGCCGAGCAATTGTATCTATTTACGTTGTATGTGATATTCTTTATTGTAAATGCTTTGCTGTTTTTTTCACTTGTAGCACTGACAGAAGCTTTATGAGAAAAGACACCCAAGTCCTAGCTGTGCCATTTTACCGTGTGGGACCAAACTCTCAGAGAGGTAAGTGACTGGCCCAGGGTTGCACAGCCCTATGGTGCCACAGCGGCTTCGGCAGCCTTCCTTTTGGCTTTTCAGGAGGAATGAAGAGACTGCTGTCAAACTCCATTTGAACTCCTGTCCTGTGTGGGAAAATTGACCAAGAGCCTGGATTTTATACCTCAGATCACCTAGAGAGTTTAGGGATGGTTTAGACTTGGCCCAGATCCATCCCTTGTACCTTTTATTACTGAGGAACTAGGGACTTCAGGTCAGACGTCAGTGTCTGTTGTCCTTTTCTCTGCATCTGGGAGGAGGTAGGATTGCTTTTAGGCATTTGTTTTACCTCGACCTTTAAGGGTGCATTCAATGTGACATTGCATTCAGATGTGCATTCAGATGTGACATTACCAGAGCAGTGATCCTGGCTGCCTAGAATAAGATCTTTGCCAGCTTTGCCTTTGACCAAAAAGAAAGCCAAGAGAAGGTAGACGAGGGAAGGGTAATTGGCTGTCTCACTAGAAGAGTATGTCCCATGAAAGTTAAGGATTCTTCCTCTTTTTCTGAATGGGTCATCGCACCAAACAGGGGATACATTTATTTTTCTTTTCACAGAACTTCCTTAGGCAAGTCTGCCAAATTTTGCCCAGGATGGGACTATTCGTTGGTTGGCTGCCGATTGCTCATAGTGTCTTCCTCAACACTCCTTTTTCTATTTCATCATTCGGTGATTGAAGAACATCTTACTGGCCTGAATGGTTTCATCCGAAACATGGACCTTAGGCTCTCACATGTCTCTGACGATTTGAAAAAGACTAGGATCATATTAGTCTAATGCCCTTAGTGTAGGCAGACAGGTATGTGCCTTAGTGTTTGGGACTTAAAATTAAACTCCCTGAATCAGAGAGCTTTGTACCAATCAAGTCCAATATCTTCATTTGACAGATGAGGAGACATAAAAACCAAATTGGTTATTTTCCCCTGGGTTTTATATAGCTATCGTTATATCGCTATAATCAAAATCCAGATTACTGGGGTGCATGGGTGGTACAGTCAGTGGAGCATCTGACTCTTGGTTTCGGCTCAGGTCATGATCTCAGGTCTTGAGATAGAGCCCCATGTGGGGCTCCTCACTCAGAGTAGAGTCTGCTTGAGAATCTCTACCTCTTCCCCTGCCCCTCCCCTGTCAAACAAATAAATAAATTTTTTAAAAATATTTTATTTATTTATTTGACAGAGACACAGCAAGAGAGGGAACACAAGCAGGGGGAGTAGAAGAGGGAGAAGCAGGCTTCCCATCCAGCGGGGAGCCTGATGCGGAGTTCGATCCCAGGTCCCTGGGATCATGACCTGAGCTGAAGGCAGATGCTTAACGACTGAGCCACCCAGGTGCCCAATAAATAAATCTTTTAAAAAATCTAGATTCTCTGGTAAATGCTTACATCACAGGGCCTCTATGTGAGGTCTACTGATTCGTGGTGAGGACACCAGCTGCGCTGGGGTGTCTGGAACATTCCACATTCAGCTGACATAGATCAGGCTGTCGTATGAGCGGGACTTAGCACAGCCTCTCAGGGCAGTCACCTTTCAGAGGCAGGCACTCTCTAAACCTCCATGGCACTCTGCAGTTAAGGTCATGCTGGTATCCTGGGATCAGTGGGGTTATTTTCTTGGCCATTTAGGGCCACAGGAGTGGAAAGTGAAACTCAGGTTTTGTTCCCTAGTGAGTTTGAGTCTAGGATTTAATGCTTGGCTTGGGGCCAAATTATTTCACCTTTCTGTACCTCAGGTTCTTCATTTGTTTTGAGGGGATAACAGTAGTACCCCTCTCACTGTTGTGAGGCATAAAGGACTCAATACTCATAAAACGCTTATAAAAGACAGATGCAAAAGACCTAAAGAATCTCCCAAGTTAGGTTCCTTTGTTTTAATGTAGAAGCTCTCCCCAGTGGGGTTTCTATGTCTCTATCATGTGTCACATATACAAACAGAAAATGCATGATACAGTTATACATGTAATGAACTTCTCTGTAATGACAACATAACTACATTTTAGGACACTTGTACTATACAGTATATATACGAATTGAATTCTGTAGATCAACTGGTATCACATTGGCTTAGCTTACCAATCCCCAGGATATTAATGAGCATGAGGAGGACCCTCCACCTCAAACTGTCCGTCTGTCTTTGAATTCTGTCCTCGTCCTTTCTCTCTTCAGGATGTTCTGCATACTTTTAGGGAGCCTAAGTTTTCATGGATCTAAGAAGACAATTTACAAAGATCTTCAAATTTCGGATCTTCCTGGTCAAGGGGAAAACCTAAACCACCAAAACTTAAACATCCTTGGAACAATATCTCTTCCCCAGGATGGGATATAATGTGTAATAATGTAGTAACATCCCACTGGGAACCAAAGTCCAACTTACCATCCTGTAGTAAAACTGACAGATAGTATTAATTACTTGTAGATATAATTTCCAAAATATCAATGTCTTACCTAACTCTGATATGAAGGAAAGTAATTTATATTAGAATAGTGTGTAGTTCAGTGTGTACAGTTTGGATGAAATGGATATCTGCACCTGTTCACAAAATCACTGTGAATACAACAGTTACAAATATGGCCTGATAGATGAATCTAGTACTATAAGTGGTTTGATTTTCCTGAAACGGTGAGCAAGTCCTAATAGCATCCAAAGAAAGAGAAGTTTATTTCCCTAATTTTCCAGTATATATCAAAGCTGTGCAAAATATTTTGTATCTCCACGTAGTGTTAGGTTCTAGCCTTAGGTAACTATTTAAACTTTTTTTTTAGAGTGGGGGGAGGGGCAGAGAGAGAGGAGGGAGAGAGAGAATCTCAAGCAGGTTCCATGCCCAGCATGGAGCCCAATGCAGGCCTCGATCCCAGGACTCTGAGAGCACGACCTGAGCCGAAATCAAGAGTTGGATGCTTTAACCGACTAAGCCACCCAGGTGCCACTATTGCCACATTAACAACCTTTTTTAAAAACCTGAACAACCTTTTTTAAAAAATTAACATATTATATATGATGTGCCCCAGGGGTACAGGTCTGTGGATCACCAGGCTTACACAGTTCACAGCACTCACCATAGCCCATACCCTCCCCAATGTCCAGGATCCAGCTACCCTTTCCCTCGCCCACAACCCCCCAGCAACCCTCATTTTGTTTTGTGAGATTAAGAGTCTCTTATGGTTTTTCTCCCTCCCCGGTCCCATCTTGTTTCATTTTTTCCCTCCCACCCCCTACGACTCCCCGCCCTGCCTCTCAAATTCCTCACTTCAGAGAGATCATGTGATAATTGTCTTTCTCTGTTGACTTACTTTGCTCAGTGTAATACCCTCTAGTTCTATCCACGTCGTTGCAGATGGCAAGATTTCATTTCTTTTGATGGCTGCATAGTATTCCATTGTATATACACCACATCTTCTTTATCCATTCATCTGTTGATGGACATCCAGGCTTTTTCCATAGTTTGGCTATTGTTACATTCGGGGTGCTCCTTTGGTTAACTACATTCATTAACAACGTTTTGAAAGTCACACGGGGGGGGGCGCCTGGGTGGCTCAGTGGGTTAAAGCCTCTGCCTTCGGCTCAGGTCATGATCCCAGGGTCCTGGGATCGAGCCCCACATCGGGCTCTCTGCTCAGCAGGGAGCCTGCTTCCTCCTCTCTCTCTCTGCCTGCCTCTCTGCCTACTTGTAATCTCTGCCTGTCAAATAAATAAATAAAGTCTTAAAAAAAAAGAAAGTCACACAGGATCAGGAACATTTTTTTGTTTTGCAGGAATGCCCATTATCCCTGATCCACACTAAATTCCAGTAGCACCATCCAATCAACATTACAGTCCAGAAAAACCCTTTACCAATTCCCAGAACTCTCCCTGGGAGGTAGTACTGCTGCCTTGAGAATTACTGTCATAAATGAAATAACAGTGAGCTGTCAACAAAATCATGATGGTGTAGTTGCAGGGTCTGTGCTGCAAGAATGCAGGCCAGCCAGTCCAGCAATATGGCAAATTCCCGCTAAGGAATGAGGACACCGTGAAGTATACAACCGGATTGTACAGAGAGGTTCTAAAAAATCAGACTCTTAGTCTAGTGGTAGGTCTTCTGTGTTCCCTGTTTCCAGTCGGAAGGCATATTTTTGGCCAAGCTGGATACAGACAGCATCATCCCATTGCCTTTGAGGGTCTTCTCCATGCATGACTTCTTGGTGGATGTCCTCCACGGCGCACCTGCACATGTGGGAGGGTTACTGGTCTACAAGAAAGGAAATACCTCTGAAACCAGATCATGTCCTAACCCAGTGGATCTCAAATTGGGCTGTGAGCAGAAGCATTAGGGAAAATGGTATATAGTTTGTAGCCGAATGTCAAGCACAGGGGCTCAGATGAAGCCATAAGAGAATGGCTTAAAGAAAAAACCTTTCATGGGGAAAGTTAGAGTCCAGAGATGGGCGAGGAATGGCACAGATTCCCATATCCTCCCATTCTCCCAGCAGAAAGGCCTCTGTAGAGGGATGCTCTGCTGGTCAGTTTTCCAGGAGATGGCCTGCTGCTCTTCCTCAGGGGCAAGTATAAGAACAACCCCGTCAGTGGGGAGCTAAATGGACCACTTGGGGCCAGGCAGCCTGAGTGTGGGGTGCTGGCTGTGTAGTAGGGGTGTCTGGGGAAGCTGGCTGCCTACTTCCTGGGAATCTTCGGAGCCTTGGAAGTGTTGGCCCTGCTGGCAGAAGGGAGAAGCCACCGGGCTAGGGGATGCTGAGTGTGTATTTGAGACCCTCCTGCTCCGAGGAAGGTTTTTCAGGCAATCTAGAGTATGTTTCTAGGGTTCTTTGTGGACAATTCTACTTGTCAGGTTATATGAAGTTATTAGATAAAAATGCCTGGGCCCGTATCATACCTGCTGGGTCTGAAGCAAGGCCCAGGTATCTCAACTAATAAGTCCCATGGGGGATTCTGATGTGAATGTGTATAACCTTCTGGAACCCAATTTTGGCCCCTTTTAGAAAGCCATTTTCGCCAGGCCATCCTCCCACAGCTTCTGAAAGTTCACACCACCTTTTCTATAGATCAAGGCATTAAGATTGAGCACTGAATAGCCCTGTGTCTCCACCACCCAAGCCTTGTGTTAAATCCTTTCCCTTCAGCTGGAATCCCAGCATGTGACTTGGACATTGTCATTTGGTCGGAGGGAGGACAGCTGAGGATGCTGGATCTTCAGGCCCTGAAGAGGGAAGTGAGCAAAAATACCTGTCTGGGTGAGTGATATCATGAAAAGACCAGCAATTCGATATTTAGGAGACACGAGTTCCAGTCTAAGCTCTTGGAATTCACCGGGTGACTTAAGTTAGTCTGCTTGCTATTTGTCAAGTAAGTGAGCGGGCCTCGGTGACTCCGAGAGTAGACTTGTTTAGAAGAACACCTAGATTAGCTGGAAGGAGGGTTGGGGGGCATGTCCGGTTGCAGTGTTGTAGACAGCGTTTCTGAAATTCTGTTCTCTCTCAATCCCAAGAAAATGATTGCATCCAAGCTTGACAGAATCACCCTTACTGTTTGCTTTTTTTGGAGGGTGTCTTTTTTATACTTAAGAGTCTACTCTTGGGGCACCTGGGTGGCTCAGTGGGTTAAGCCTCTGCCTTTGGCTCAGGTCATGGTCTCAGAGTCCTGGGATCGAGCCCCACATTGGGCTCCCTGCTCAGTGGGGAGCCTGCTTCCCCCTCTCTCTCTGCCTGCCTCTCTGCCTGCTTGTGATCTCTCTCTCTCTGTCAAATAAATAAATAAAAAATCTTAAAAAAAAAAAAAGAGTCTACTCTTCTCATCCCTTTCCCTCCTGCCTCTTACCACTGCTCATTGGCTCTAATAACTGATAGCTCACTTTACTTTCTACTCCCCTACTCTCTGTTCATTGGCTGGTATATCTGCTCATTCCATTTTTTTGGCTGAGTCCCATCACCCTTCCCATAGTTCTTGATGTCTCTGTGCTCCCCATGCCTGTTATAAAAACTCTGCCCGTTATCTCTTCTGTTCCCGTTCCCTTGCCTTCAACTTCCCTTTTTGTTTTCTTCCCATATAATGTTGCTAGTGTGCGTGAATAGCAAATTTGCTATCTTTTTTTTTCCCCCCTGCTGGTTTATTTTTCTTTCTCTCTATACTAGATGCAGGTGACATTTGCACTTTAAATCTCTTTCAGATAGGGAGCTGTGAACGGAGCCAAAGCAGCAGCACCAATCAGGCTATTTCTGAAGAACCAGAGTTTTCAGTGTCAGCCATGCAAAGTCTCAGAAGGAGTACTGCCCAAGGTCCTCCGAATGAAGAGGCCTATAAAGGTGAGGGCCGGTTATCGAGGCAGACAAAATGTCCTGTCCGGAAGACATCTTTTGAGAAAACAGCAATCAGGAACATGTCAATGACCCTTAAGGAAATTTTTGCTAGGGAGAGAGTTCCTGAATCTAGTGAATTTAGTCTAAGCTCAAAAGTTAATACACAGCAGAACATTCCAAAGGGAGCTAGATCCCCCATATCTAGGAAAAACTCCGAAGATAATTTGGACTTCATTAAACACCAAAAACTCTTCCCACAAAAGAAACCTTGTAAATGCAATGAATGTGGGAAAGCCTTCAGTTACCAATCAGACCTTATTGTCCACAGGAGAATTCATGGTGGAGAAAAGCCTTTTGAATGCAATGAATGTGGAAAGACTTTTAGCCGAAGTACACACCTTATCGAGCATCAGAGAACTCACACTGGAGAGAAGCCGTACGAATGCAGCGAGTGTGGAAAAGCTTTTAGCCGGAGCACGCACCTGAGTCTGCACCAGAGGGTCCACACGGGAGAGAAGCCCTATGAGTGTGGTGAGTGCGGGAAAGCCTTCAGCCGGAGCACGAACCTCAGCCAGCACCAGCGAACTCACACTCAGGAGAAACCTTACAAATGTACCGAGTGTGGGAAAGCCTTCAGCGACCGCTCGACCATAATTCAGCATCAACGGATACACACTGGAGAGAATCCCTATGAGTGCCGTGAGTGCGGGAAGGCTTTCAGCTGGGTCTCCTCTCTCAGCGAGCACCAGAGAACACACACGGGCGAGAAGCCCTACGAATGCGGCGACTGTGGGAAAGTGTTCAGTCGCAGCTCTTCCCTCGCCGAGCATCAGAGGACCCACACCGGGGAGAAGCCCCACGAATGCGGAGAATGTGGGAAGGGCTTCGGTCGGAGCTCATCGCTTATCATTCACCAGAGAACTCACACCGGGGAGAAGCCGTACAAGTGTAATGACTGTGGGAAAGCCTTCAGCCAGAGTTCAACCCTCATCAGACACCAGCGACTTCACGCTAAAGAGTAACAGTCGAGCTTTCTCCTTAATGTGCGCGGAAGAGCACGCCGCACTCGCATCCTGTTCCTGCAAGGAGAAACAGATTCGTCTGTGGAGTTTTCTTCTCTACTAGCTAGCTGTAAGCCAGGGTCAAGGTAGCTTCCTTCCGTTTTGTCAGCTAGATGCTGCAATGAGTGATCAGTAAAAGGGGGTGAGTCTAGGAACCGAACATATTCCCTCTCCTCCCCCGGAGCACTCCCCTTAGAGTGTAGACCTGACACCTTGTATCTGCTCACCTGTCTGTGCCCTGGGGCTCCGGTCCCTGTGCAGTCAGCCCCTTTACTTCGAGAGGAAGTCCTGAGTGACAGAGTGTGAGTGTGTGTGAGTGTGACGCCAGCTCCAGTACCAGAAGAGAAGGAGCTGGCTTCAGAACAGGAAAAAAATCTTCCCACCAGTTTGCTGATAATGGTGTTGAGGCAAATCCAGTTTCTGATTTTATACTAACAGATTTTTCTGTTAAACCTTTTTTGTTGTAGCGTGTTTTCCTCAAAGTATAAACCATGTGCCTAACTAATCCTAGTATTTTTTTATATTATCCTCATCGAGAATGACCTAAAACTTACATTGAGTTCTTCTATCATTAAAAAAAAAAAATTGCTTCCCTAGTTTTTAATTTTCTTCTGTTTGTAGGCTTTATGAAACTTACACCCTCTGGTCCTAACTCTCACCATTCCTATAAAGCTCATCTCTCAAGGACAAATTCCGTGACTGTTTCTTAGTCTTTTTTCCCACTTGACATTTGCAGAATTGACACTTTGGGCTACTCTCATGCCTTAAAACTTGAGCTTCTTCGGGCATCCCCAATTCTGTGCTGATCCACACTTTTCCTACCTCATGGCACTCTCTGACTAACGTGATCAGCTGTATAACTTTGGGCAAGAGTTAAACTAGAGTGATCTCATTTTATTGGGCTGTAATACTTGAGGTCGCTCAATTAGATTGTAAACTTCCTGAAGACAAAGGTCTTTTAGATTCCTGTGAAACATGCAAAGTGCAGAATGGTCACTAAATGCCCTGTAATTACTGCCTACTTTATACCAGGTAACTGGCCTGCTAGATTTCATCTGAAATGGTTTACGAGTTGATTTCTTGCCCTATTCCTAATGCTGCTGCTAGGTGCTCAGGAGTCGGGGCTCAGATTACGAGAGTCAGCAGGGCTGCCCTTGTCTCCCTGCCTTTAGCAGCCTGACTAAACAACCATCTTGTCCAAAGAGTTCACGGTTCCTAGGACAAAGATCAAACTCTCTCACTCCAGGGCCTTCCACACTTAGGTCTATTTACTTATTTTCCATTACTCTCCAGTACCTGCAGCCAGGCCTGTCCTTGGGGTCTGTTATACCCTCTTCTCGCACTTGACTTCTTTCCACACTGTGTGTGGCCCCCTTTTACATGTCTGGCTTTCCCCCGTGTCTCCAGAAATCTCATCCGCACGTTATGAAAGGCCTTGCTCAGGTCCTGCCTCCTCTGACACCTGGGGTCTCCCACCTTAGAAGTCCTGTGCAGTGGTGGTTTGCCCTGATTTTCCTGCATTACAAACTCTCCTGTTCTGTTTTCTGATTCGCTCAGGTGCTTTTTTTCCCATAAGCTTTTGGAGTTAGACATTACCTTAAATCTCTCAGAAGCCCCGTCTAATACATGATATAATGCAGGTCTAGACTCCAGTTTTAGTCTAAACAGGGAGGGTTTAATTGAATCGTGTAATCTCTTAGTCTTTTGAATGGAGGGAGAGCCTTTAAATATTATGTAAATTCACTCTTGGGACTAATTCTCCATTAGAGTTCCTGGGATGCTGGCCTCTTGGCTTTCCATTTCATGAGACCGTTGTAAGGAATAAGTGCGTTTATTCGTGTAAAGTGATGAAAACAGTGCCTGACCTAAAGTGAGTGCTCAGTAAATGCTCATTGTAATGATTCTGCTGCACATCAGCCCATAGCCTTTCATTTCCTCCCATGCAGGGTCTGTAAGTCCATTACCAGCAGTGGAAAACTAGGGTTACCATCCGTTAGGTTAGAAGATGTTTATGCTAATTGTGGTAACAGGCAATAGCCATCCATCTGTATTTCTGGTACATATCATGTGTCAAAGGGACTTAAGATAGCTTACAAGATAGGAAAAAATGGAAAACCAAAACACATAAGAATCAGCATTCGGGGGCGCCTGGGTGGCTTGGTTGGTGAAGCATCTGCCTTCCACTCAGGGCATGATCTCAGGGTCCTGGGATCGAGCCCTGAGTCAGGCTTCCTGCTCAATGGGGAGTCTGCTCCCTCTCCCTCTGCCCTTCCCCTGCTTGTGTGCTCTCTCTCTCTCAGATAAATAAATCAATAAAATCTTTTTTAAAAATCAGCATTAGAGAAAGGGGACAGACCAGAAGACCAACATGAGGACAAGTATGGTATGCTGTAGTTACCCAGATAGAGGTGTAAACTGGGCATTCTGGCAACTGAAGGGGGATGGTCATTTGGTTACTTTGTATTTGGAAAGAAAAAAAATGCCCATTCTTCAAGGAAAGCTTTCTTTCTTTCTTTTTTTTTTTTTGACCACTCTTCTGTGGTCATCTCTTCTCTTGTTTATGCCTTTTAAATTCTTTGCCATCATTGTGATGAAGTGTCCAGAGGAAGCAGAGATAAGCACAGGGTTCATTCTCCATTTTCAACCTCTCAGCTCTGTCCCCCAGCTAATCCCCTCACTCCCCACCCCATGTGACAGCCTGACCTTTGATGTGGCCTTCCCTGCCCCTCCACCAGCCACCCTGTACGCCCAAGCCCAGGGCCTCTCTCTGCTCCTCACTGGCACCTTAGCCGCCCCGGAGAGGGACAGTGATAGATGGGCAGGCGGACTTCAAGTTCTTTCTACTCAGGTTCTGAGTCAGGGGTATCCCAGGCACACTGTGCTCTTTCCTGACTGGGCCTTTGCAGATACTGTTCCCTCTCTCTGTTTCTCTGAAACCCCTTCAGCCCCAGCCCTGCCTCCTGGCATGTCTCTCTGGTGGGGGTTCCTACTCATCTGCAGGCTGGGACCCCTCTCCTGGGAAGCCCCAAGTGGTACAGATCTGGTTCAGCCATCACAGCCAGGATCTTATCGCAGTCTACGAACATCTGCATAATGGGTGTGGCACCCGTCCCCCTCACCAGTCTCCCCTGACCTCCCCAAAGCCGCAGCAGGGCAAGAAGTCTTCCTTGCCATGTTGCATGATAAAGCAAGGAGTTCTTTTCTCCCAAGTTGGCCCAGCCCTGGGAAGACGCTGAGGCCAGACGGATCCTCTAACATCCTAATGACCACACTACACCCAGCTTAAAACCCATTCATGGCTACTCAGTGCTGCTGGCCTGCCTGGCCCGTGCTGCTTCCGTGGCACCCAGTCTCTGCTCCCTGCCCCCACCTCATTTTTCTTCCAAGAGAGCCTGAGTCCTCCCAGTCTGCTGGCTAACTGCTGGGAGCCCTTTCTCTCCCCCCACAGCCAGCATCTTCATAGATCTTGTCCCAAAGCTTTCCTAATAGTTAGATTTAAGATGAATGATAAATTTTTTCATTTGTCTGCATGTAATTTTACAATGCATTTGATAGCAAAAATTAAAGAATAATGTATTCTCCACAACACCTAGCATATGTAGGTTCTCCAGTGAACAAATATTTAGTTCATAGTGGACAGCTCAGAAAGGAAGGGGTGAAGATTGTTCTTGCGTGGAGTGGGTTCTGAAGGAGCAGGGCATAGAGTAGATAACTGCGTAATAACTGGGCGCTGTAAGAAAAGCTCTTTTCACTCACTTGAGTCATTTAATTTCTATCTCATGGGATGAAAAAGCTGGTGTTTTGGATGTGAAATAACTTAAAAAGGATCAGATTTGACCCCAATTCTGCTGACCAGTATTGGACCTCTTAAGATTTTATTTATTTGAGAGAGAGAGTACAAGAAGGGGGAGGGTCAGAGGGAGAAGCAGACGCACCATTGAGCAGGAAGCCTGATGTGGGACTTGATCCCAGGGCTCCAGGATCATGACCTGAGGTGAAGGCAGCTGCTTAACCAACTGAGCACCCAAGGCACCCAGTACTGGACCTCTTAGGGTGGACAGTGACAAGGTCTGGAAAAGAAAGACAGTGAGTAAAGGCGGAGAGGTGGGGAAAAGCCCTGTTTGTTCCAGTACATGAACTGGACTGTGGCAGGGAGTTCAGTGAAGTCAAGAATGAGAACGCGGACTTGGAATTGGGTGACTTGGTGATGGCCACTTCCAGTCCGAGATCGTGTTTGGGGTTAACAAGGGAATTACAGGAGATGACTGATGATGGTGATTAAGTGTGGTTTCGAGGAGAGAAGAGTAATCTGGGAGAGGAGACAGGACGGCTTGGAGCTGAGAGAGAGAGAGAGAGAAGGCAGAAGTCAGGTGAGAAGCTGGAGCCTTAGGATGGGGGTATTGGGAATTGAAGAGCCACGGGTGGATGAAGAAGTGGTGCCCAGATTCAGGCAAGGGAGAAGGGGGGCCAGAGGCTACATTCCTTAATTGCTGTGGTTAATTCTCCTTTGAGTGACCTGCACCATCAGGGAGGGGCTTCGGATATGCGCTCAGGGGGTAACACAAATGTCCACTCTGATAAGATTATCTTGCGTCTTCTCAGTCACTGTGGACCCAGAAGCGTTTGGGATTTCCCCTGGGGAAGTCGAGTCAGAGGGGTGCGTGATGGGGAGAGGTCCGCCTTTCTGCGAGGACAAGCGGGGGGCCTGCCCGCACATCCCTGCGCTCGCCGCCCGCGGACACACCTGTCTGGCTCAGTGCGCCTTACATCCGGACGCGCACGTGCACACGTGCGGCGGGGGCCTCGCGTCCTTCCGGTGCGGTCGCTCGCTGGGCCGGTCGCGGCGCGAGGACTGGAGCCTACGCGCTCTGAGGGCCGACGCGCCCCGGCCCTTTCCGTCCCCGTAGGCAGGCGGCGGCCGAGGCGCGCGGCTCTGCCCCGACGTGGGCGCGACGCCGCCGCTGCCCTAAAGCCCACGCACCGGCGTCCGGTGGGCGCGGCGGAGCCGGGTGGGCCAGAGTGGCGGAAGGGCGCGGTGTCCCACGAGGGGTTGGCCGAGGCTGCGCCCCTGGGGCGGCCCGCGCT